TCCTAGTCCCAAACTCAAGCTTATACTCATCTAATTATTTTAAAAATAACCCAAGGGCACAGAGCCTGTCTGCTTTACACACCTTACACAACGGAGCCCCAGGTCGGCTGGCGGTGTCACAGAACGGGACGCTGCCAAGTCTCCCGCCATCCACCCTGCCATCTTCTGAGCCACTGTTTCAGCCGCTGTGTCCGTCATCTCACGGAGGGCCTCCCTCTGTCCCTGGCCCACTCCTTGACCACGCAGGATGCCCATGTCCGGAGCATGTAAGACAGCGTCTGGTCATCCTGGCCTCCAAGGAGCAGTCTGGCCGTACTTCTTCAAACACAGCCTTGTTTGTGCTTTTGACTGCCCATGGTCCCTTCAATATTCTTCATCAGCAACACGATCCTAGCACATCGATGCTTCTTGGTCTTTCTTATTGGCTCTCCGGCTCTCACCTGCACAGAGGTGATCGAAGAGATCATGGCTCGGGTCAGGCACTCTTCCCCAGTCCTCAAAGCGACCGCCTTGCTTTTCAAGAGTTTCAAGAGGTCTTTGGCGAGGGTGCTGGCCATAGATAAGATGACGTCTGTGCATGTCAGAACCTGTGGAAGACGGAAACTGGTCGGAGAGGAAAAACTCCCAAGTTTTTTTTTTTCCCATCAAAACAAGCAATAGGACAGTTGCAAGGTGGCGGACAAGATACCTGGACTGGCCACAACAAAGACACGTGAAACCGAATGGGCTTGATACAGATCATCCTGGAGCCCGGGTTTCAAGGGAAATGCTAAAGAAGCGGATCGAATCCTGACTAGAAGAAGAAAGGAAAGGTGAGCCCCAAACCAGGAGACGGATGAGATGGTGACTTGGGACACAGGGAGAATTTCTGTACGCTGTGGAACTACCTTCATCATCGACACCGGCCATCCGGGACCTTAGCAATGGCCATGCCTCTAAGTGGTGGCCGGAAAGGCGTGATCTTCCTCTTACTTTCCACCCCTTCCTGGTGACCAGAAGAGTGGCCAGCCCTTACCTTCACCCACCTGGCACCTGGTGACACTCCTGCACACTGTAGCCCCCGCTCCACCCGAGGTCAGAGGCCTGCCCACCTGGATCAAACAACTGTGTTTGAAGGTGCATGTTTGCTGCCTCCATGGGCCAGCATGGAGGAGTCTGCAGGAACTCCTTCCTGGACCAGGCGACCCCCACCCCCCACCCAACTAATGGGCCTGTAGGAACTCAGTCCAGGAGCAAGGCCTTGTGGGGTCCCTGGCCAGCAGAGTGCATTAACCCTTCCCAGGTAGCTTGTCCCCCTGCTGCCTCCTCAGCCAGCAAGACCACTGCCAGGGTGGCCTTGTCAGCCCCTTGTCAGTTTTCTTCTTTCTTCCCGCCCTGTTTGCTTTCTTTCTTTATGCTTTCCTTTCTTAAAAACCTTTTCTCTGTTCTTACTATTCTTATTTACTCATTTCTTTTTTTTT